GATTAAAAATACATTGATTTATCTGGGCCAACTGTATGGCCTTAGACACCCAAAAGGAAAGTATAACCAAAGATTAAAGGGTCCAATATAATTTCTTAAGAGTCCATATGCATAGCTAAAGGCTACATAACAAGAAACAATGCCAGATAGGAGATACCTTCATTTGAGTTGTTGGCCAGGGTGGCCCAAGGGACTCCCAGATAGTAACCCAGCATAGAACTGGGAAAATGAACAGCAGTCCCCAATGTTATCTAAAGGAATATTGACAACTGACTGCTACTAGATGAGGAACAGCTGACCTTCCTAAAACAAAGACCTCTAAATAGGCTGACTAGATTCACTGGATGGACAAGTAGTGGGTAATGGCTGGGGTGCCGACAACACAGCAGACAGTAGCAGGGATTACAGAGTACAAGAGCTCTAGTGGGGAGAGGGAGGCTATGGGAGGGTGCCATCTGGGAAGTGGGTGTATAGATGATTAAGACAGTTTGGGATGTTCTGTGATATACACACAAAAAAATCTACAAATTTTAAAAAATGAATTATATTTGAGGAGGAAACATAAAAATTTATGTCATGTTAATTAGTAGATGTGATAAACATTACCATTGAAATCTACCCAATAACTTTATAGGCACACACAGGTTCCAAGGATCTGAGTGCAACCGATTATGACTAGTAATAATGGAATACATACAGATTAGAGATGCATGCGCCAACATCTCAGTTTTTTCAGCAAAAACAATGAGTCTTTCTGTAAGAAACTGTATATTTTAAAATGAAATGGAGATCTATTTTAAAGGTTAAAACTCATTTAATTTTATGTCTTACAGGGTTTGTACTGAGTTCAATATTGTATAACTGTATTAATTCGAAAGTGAACCTAAAAATGTTATAGCCACTTTTGAAAGAGATGTATCTTTGATCTGAAAACTGTTATTGAGTATGTTAAAGATGTAATGAAATGTTTCTTCTAAAAAATATATATAATAAAATAAGATACAGATTTTTTTAAATGACACATATTGGCGTGAAATGGCAGTAATTAGATTGTCAGGAAATGATTGTTTATTTTCATACAGATGCTAGGAATAATGGCTTAGTGTAGTAATATAATAGTCCCAGTATCCTTCTGATGTAGTCATTCATGTTTTGTAGAGAGGGTCAGAGGATTAAAACAGTATCTGGTCAGCATGCAGAAAATAAGAGACTGCAGAGTGCTCAGCCCTAGGTGGGACACCTACGTCACATCTTCTTCCTCCCAAGGCCAGGGATCTTTGGAAAAGGGGGGTGGTAGAAAGACTGTCAGAGCAGAGGCAGTGGATGGACACAAGGAAACTGTTTACTGGACACAAAAGGTAAGTTGCACCCGTGAACCCACAACCCTTTGACAGCGTGCACAAGACCTGTGCAAGCCCAAGCTAGACAAAATCCTAACGTGGAGGGAAGACATGGGTAATAAGCCCTGTTGTATCTGACGAGGTGTTTGCAATTTAAAGTGCGTGAGAGAGAGAGAGAGAGAGAGAGAGAGGCAGAGAAAGAGAGAGAGAGAGACAGAGAGACACAGAGAGGGAAATAGAGAATATGAACCAGTTTTCTTTAAGGTTATGACACTGGATAGGTTGATCAGATTCCAGAGGATGGACCCACACCCAAGTGCATTTGGGGAACACAAGTTAGACTTGATAGACTTTTAAAAACTATAAAGGTCATGAAGTAATGGGGAAGAGAGAGGTGGGTGGATCTGAGGAGGTGGAGGAGGGGGTCTGAATAGGATCAAAATACATTGTACAAAATTCTCAAAGAATCAATAAAATATATTTTAAAGATTACTTAGAAATTATAGTGTTCATGTTGGGCAACAATCTTCAAAGTGGAATGTTGTACAAATAACTCCACCTCCCTGAAGGTTAACTTTATTCTCTGTAAACAGGAAGGGGTGGTTTGGGGCTCAATAGCCTCTATGATGCCTGACCACCCAGGTTACTGTAGAGATATAAAGAGGTAATCAGCATAAAATGTAACTATTAAACATGCATAATAGGTGATGGTGAAGGAAAAGATACATTGGTTTATTGTTATGGCATCCTGACACTAGTGACACGTGTGGCCATCCTTATCTTACCTCAGTCTGGATATCAATCCAAGCTATTTTAATTGAGAAGATTATATTTTTCAGAGCAAAATTCTTCAATTTACCATATATCAAATACTAATACTGACATACCTACCATCATTGCCTTCACCCTTATTGCCATCATCAACACTATCATCATCACCATCATCACCATCACAATCATCATCTTCTTCATCATCATCAAGATCATCACCATTATCCTCCTCATCATCATTACCATCATCACTAGCCCACTACCTCCATCACCATCATCTTCACCATCATCACCATCACTATTATCATTACCACCATCACCCTCACCATCATCACCATCCCACTCCCACCACCATTATCCTCTCAACCATTGTTACTATCATCACCATTACTACCACCATCAGCAGCACCATCACCCTCACCATCATCATCACCATCATCACCACCATTCTCACTATTATTATGGTCACTATCATCACTACCATCACCATCATCTTCACCATCATCACCATCCCGCTACCATCATCACCATCATCACAATCACCACCATCACCATCATCACCATCCCACTACCACTATCACCTTCATCATTACCGCTGTTGCCATCATCCAATTATTTTCACTAACATCACCTTCATCATCACCGTTATCACTATTACAATCATCACCATGATCCCCACCACCACCATCATCATTATCATCATCACCATCAGCCTCCTCCTCATCATCCCATCACCATCATTACCCTCATCACCATCACTACCATCATCACCACCATCATCACTACCATCTTACCATTATCCTTCTCCTCATCATCACGCTTATCACTGTCATCATCATCATCATCATCATCATCACTATATCATCATCATCACCACCATAACTATTGCAAACACATAGCATTTACTATGTGGTAGGTACAATTTAACAGATCAAGCAGATTTTAAAATTTAAATAACTAAATTCACAACATCCTCCCACAGTAAATATTCATGAGACTCTGAAGTTCATCTAAGAAAATTCCAGATCACAGAATAACTTCTGAAGATGGGAGAGAGGACATGTAAGCAATTGGGATCGTTGTAGGAGTAAAAGAGCATCCGCTGTGATCCAGGCATTGTGATGGGTGCTGTCATGTGCATCTTGCATCTCACCTCACAGACAAGAAAACAGACTACAGAAATTCAAGTCTCATGTCATAGATCCAACAAATAATAAAAATAAATAATAAACTTACACCTCAAATCCAAGTCTTTTAGAAAAAATTGCATCCCTCCACTGGTAGACTATGCACAAAAAGAATAAAGTTCCTCTCTGACACATTGGCCTACGTGCAGGAAAAATTCTTGATGGGGCTGGCGGGGGGGTCACAGAGAGATAAGTCAACTCAAGTACTAGTCTAACTTTTAGAACAAAAATCAGGGTCATGTCAAGGGATAGACAATTCAGTCCCATCAGGCTTCAGTAAAAGTGAATTTATTTGTTGACAAAAGAGGACATGGGCAGAACAGACTTCAAGTATCTCTGGACCAGGAAGTCATCATTCATTGGAGCTTCATTTCTGTCCATAGAGGGGCTTTTATTATTTCATATTAACTCCATTATCAAAGCTGTAACTCTACTGTGAGACTCCCCAAAGTGATACCTACATCTTCATATCTGCAAATTTATGGACTAAGGAAATTTTGAAAAACATCTTGAGATCTGGCTGGGCATGGTGGCTCATGCCTTTAGTCTCAGCATTCGGGATGCAGAGGCAGGTGGATCCCTGTGAGTTCAAGTCCAGCCTGGTCTACATAGCAAGTTTTAGGCCAGCTGGGGTTACAAGGGAGACCCTGTCTCAAAGAGACCAAAAAATAGATAAATAAAATAAAAAGATATTTTGAGATCTAAATCTCTGAAGTAGATTTTACTGACTAAAATTCCTCAATCATCCCTCTATGAACATCAATTCTCTTATAGCTTCCTGATCCTTCATGAAAGACTGGAGACATTCCACTGCCCTCTTGACTTAGATCTGCCTGAGAGATTTGAACTGGCTAATCCATATAATGGCATGTCAGATAACGCAAGTCTTGACAATCCCTTGTGCACTTGGGTCTCCCCTCTCTCAATTCAGCTATTATAATGAAAAAGAATGCCCAAACCAGCTCTGTGTTTGAAGAGAAGCATGTGGAGCAGAGCTTTTCCAGTTAACTCATGCCTATGTCAACTGACACTCATATGTTTGAACAACCATGGTCCATGTCAAAAATACCATTCACTAGCTGTTCAGCTAAGGTTGAGGCCTGATTACTGCTGGGTAAGGGAAAGCTGATCTTCTTTAAGAGACAAACTCCAGATAGCCTGACTGGGCTACATTAGATAAACTTGCACTGAGGGACATCTGGGTACATAAACTTGATTCTCTAGACCTTAACATATATGACAATGTATATAATCCAGTAGAGTGGGACATGGGAGGGTATGGATGGGGGAGGAGATATAAAGATGATTAAGATCTTTTGTATGAAGTACACAAAAATCCAATTAAAAATATACATAGAAAATACCATCCAGATGGGGCCAGCCTAGACTAGCTAACACTCACTTGACTGAAAGTGCAGGAGAATAAGTAACAAGCTTGAAGACACTAAATTTTGGGATGGTTTGTTACATGACATTTCTATATCAGCTGCTAGCTGATACACTCTAGCTGGCTCAAAGTAAATTCATTTGTACTCCTCTGCTAAAGAATGGTGACCAAAGATGAAAGGCTTGGTTTTGTGCCTTTTCTTTGACAGAAAGATGTATTATTGATGAAAGAAACTGAAAGGAAAAACTAGGATTCTCTGAAAGAAAGAACAAACTTCAACATTTCCTGACTCTGAAAGGTGTCAGACGGGCCAGGTCATTCACATAGTCTAGACCCCTGGCCTCCACAGCACACCCGCCCAAAGGCCGCCTTGACCTCCTTGTTCCGCAGGCTGTAGATGAGGGGGTTAAGCATGGGAGTCACCATGGTGTAGGACAAGGACACCACCTGCTTACTCTCGGGGGAGTAGCTGGCCTTGGGGCGCGAGTGGATGACCCCTGCCGTGCCATAAAACAGAATCACTACAATGAGGTGGGAGGCACAGGTGGACAGGGCCTTGTGGCGCCCAGAGGCCGATGGCATTCGTAGGACGGCAACCAGAATCAAGATGTAGGATGTGGATATGAGACAGAAAGGGGCCATGACGACCAGCACTGTGGCCGCCAGCACACTGGCCTCGAAGACTCTGGTGTCGGCACACACCAGGCTCAGCAGAGGAGCGATGTCACACAAGAAGTGCCTGACTCCACGAGGCCCACAGAAGGGGAAGCTGAAGAGCCAGATGGTGAGGACGAGCGCCACAGGGACTCCAGCCAGCCAGCAGGTGGCAGCCAGCAGGTGGCACAGCCTGGGGCTCATGATGGCTCCATAGCGCAGAGGCCTGCAGATGGCCAGGAAGCGGTCCCAGGCCATGATGGTGAGGAGCAAGCACTCGGAAGTAACACAGGACAGCACTAGGAGCATCTGCAGGGCACAGCCCGTGGGGGACACACCGCGCCCTGGCCACAGCAGGGTCACCAGCAGACGGGGCGCCACGTCCAGAGAGAAGCAGAGCTCCACCAGCGCCAGCTGGCGCAGGAAGAAGTACATGGGCGAACGCAGGCCGGGGTCCAGGCTGGTGAGCATCACAATGATTGCGTTGCCTAGCAACGTGATCAGGAAGATGACCAGGAAGAGTGTGGCTAGCATTGGACGCAACGTAGGCACGTGCGCGAAGCCCAGCAGCACGAACTCGAGCTCCTGGGAGCTGTTCTGGTTGGTCTGGAGTGGCAGCGCTGAGAGGGCGCTGCTGGGAGCCCAGAAGGGCGGCATGGACTGCGGTTTCCTGGGGACTGCGCTCAGCAAGGAGGAGGAGCTCTGTGGGGCAGGGATAGGCTAGGAGGAAGAAGAGGATGAAGTGAGAATTTAGAGCCTCCGTGTTCTGTCTTCAAGAGTCCCAAGGGAGTCTATCTAAAAGCAAATCAAGTCCCAGAATGCACAGGGCGCTTCTTAAACTCTCCAGTGAGGGTGAGTCATCTGCTGACCTAGCCTCTGTCTAATTCTCTGCTTTCTGTTACTGGAGCTGCATTCAGTCATTCAGTGTATGTGTCCCACCACAGGGCCTTTGCACTGACCATTTGCTCCTCCTACCACTCTTTCCCTGGCAGTCCATAAGGGCGGGCCTATGTGTGCTGGTCCCCACCTCCATCCTCAACGCCATTCCCTCACCCTCCCAAGATGTCCTCATTGGCATCTTGGACACCTGACATTTTCTTCTCTCCCCCTTCTTCCCCAGGACTTGCATGATTCTGTTCCTTCCATTTGTTGGCATGATTACAGCTATCTCAATCTCTAGGTATATATATTAAAATATCACCCTCGGGGCCATCAACATGGCTGGATGGGCAAAGGTACTTGCAGCCAAGCCTGAAGGACCTGTGCTCAGTCCTCAGTACCCACATGGTAAAAGGAAAGAATTGACTCCTGCAAGGTGTCTCTGACCTCCATATGTACACCGTGACAAGTACACCCACTCCTTCCTCCCAAATGAACAAATAAACAAATGTAATGTATTTTACCATCTTAGATACAATACCCTGATTTCCTGATTTAAAACAGCTTTTTTATGCTCTCTGACTGTAGTTGTCACTGAATAAACACTAGGTCGAATTTCCCTTCTGTTGATCAAAGTCTATTCCTTCTATGAACTGTGAACACCATGGCTCACACTGGTTTCCACCTACCACCCAGGAAGCTTGTTCTCCATTAAATACTACCAAAATATCTCTCACGTGGAGTTTTGTGAAAAATACATGAAGGAAAATAGATGGGATTTCTGGGACTGGGAGCATGGCTCCATGTGTAAAACACTTGCTGGACAGGTAGGAAGACCTGAATTTATATCTCTGGCACGTCAAAGCAAGGTGCTGCCTTTGTCACCCCAGCACTGTTGGTGGGCAGGTAAGGCGTGGAGACAGGAGGATCCTCTGGCTAGCCAGAGTCTAGCTGAAATGACGAGCTCTAGGTTCAGAGAGAGACCCTGTCTCAAAAAATACGGAGGAGATGGCTAGTGGGGAGAGTGCTTGCTGTACATACATGAGAAGCTGAGATCAATGCCTAGCCCCCAGGCAGAGCTGTACGGGCCTGTAACTCCAGCCATGGGGGCTAGGACAGGTGGACCATGGGAGTTTGCTGGCCAGCAGTGTTGTTGAAATGGCAAGCTTCTGGTTCACTGAGAGACCCTGTGTTAAAGGGATAAGGTGAAGACTGATAAGAAAGACACCCCATGTCCTCCTGTGACCTCCACATCCATGCTCATGGGCACACACAACAGCTCACTCATGTGCATGCTCCACACATTCACACATACACACACCACACACCCCACATATAAAAACTAAAAAAACAAAAAAAACAAAAAAAACAAAAAAACAGGTGGAGAGTGATCAAGGATGATGCCCAACATTGACCTCTGGCCTCCACACATGAATGCATTGGTAATCACATTTGCACACATGCACACACAGAATAGAACACACACACATCATATATAGTGCTCAAAGTCTAGAAAAACATGTTCTAAAACATTGGAGTTTGCTAAGTGACTCCCAAATTCTCCTTTTAGATCGCTATTACCTGCAAGATGATGCTTAATGATTTCATTGTGGTATTCATAAAGAGCTCTCAAATCCGTCCGTCCATCCATCCATCCATCCATCCATCCATCCATCCAATTCAGAAAATACAGCACCGGGCACTGTAGCAGGCACTGGTCTGGGATCCAAGTTTAAACATTTAAAAAATATTTTATTTGTTTATATATATATATGAGCGTTCTGCTTGCATGTATGTAAGTACACCTGTATTGTGCAATGCTGGTGGAGGCCAGAAGAAGGCATCAGATCCTCTAGAACTGGAGTTACAGATGGTTGTTAGGCATCATGTGGGTGGCTGGAAGCTGAACCTGCGTCCTCTGCAAGAGTAGTCAGTGCTCTTAACCGCTGAGCCTTCTCTTTAATAGGGTTCAGATCCAGGTAACCCCAGACCCAGAAATCATAAGGCCCCTAAGAGAAACTGAGTCAACCAACTCCCAGCCACCTGCAAGTTAACAAAGCAGCTCGGAAATTAATGACCCAATAAACTGTGATCACTAGAGCATGCTCCACAGGCCGACAGATGGATTTCCCAAGCCCTTAGCTGTAATGAGTTCCTGAAACACTGAAAGTGTAGAAAACACATTTTACAGTAGATGTTTTCCTCAATAAGTTTCACCAAGTACAGACTCCACACTCTCCCTGAGCAAACAGCCCCAAAACAGTCCCAAACAGCAGAAAAATAACATCTTTTTCCGCATTCTTTCCCTTTATAAGATACCCCTCTGCAGCCATTACGCTGCTGGTTCTTCCTCAGATCCGAGTTGAGGACCAGCCCCACCAAACCTAATTAAACTTTCGCTTTGCAGAGTCCTCTTTGTTTCTGTTTCGTGGAGATCCCGACCTCTGCCACCCTTTTATCTAACGCTCCTCAGCCCCCTGGGATCCATGTTTAAAAAGCAGAAGTCAGATCATTCCTCAACTTCAGATGCTTAGGAGGACAAAGGGAAATCCTCCGAAAGGGGGTGGCACAAAAGTTTGCCATAGCATGAATGACATCCCAACTTCTGGCCCTATGTCTAACTCATCAAATGTTCTCACTGCAACATTTGATGTGAATATCCCTTTGCTTTGCTCACAAAATTATCCCTGGCACCTAACACAATCACTCATTGGTGATGAATAAATATTTATCAAGTTGTCTCATTCTTGTTCATAGTTACATCTCTAGTTTTTAAATCAGTAAATGGCACGTAAACAGAAATCCAAAAGTACTTTTTTGAGCACCCGAGGACAGCCTGGGTTCCCACGTTCCCCTTTCCTTACAGCCCCTCATTATAAGTCCTCACATTCTTGCTCCGTCATCCCTGCCATGTGCTGGCTTCTCACTCTCTCCCCATTGTGGAAAATGCTGTTCCCACCCTCTCTGCATAGTCCTGAAATTCAGTCTCAGCCCACATGGTACCTGGCTGTGCAGCCCCACAACAAAATTAAGACCCTGGTGTCAGAGAGAGAGTGCCCAACCTCTACCTTTGGTGCGCTGAGATGCTAACCAGATGATGGTCCGTTTGATTGTTTTCTCTGAGTTAGGCTTTCTAATCTGGAATTGAGTTCTATGGTAAAGGAAACTATCTCAGGGGCTGAAGAGATGGCTCAGTGGGTAAGAACACTGGCTGTTATTCCAGAGGACCCAGGTTCAACTCCCAGCACTCACATGGCAGTTAACAACTGTCCTAACTCCAGTTCTAGGGGATCTGACTCCCTCTCCTGACCTCCTCAGACATTGCACAGCATGGATGCACTTACATACATGCAGGTAATACACTTACACATATAAAATAGAAATAAACAAATAAAAATTTAAAAAACCATGAGAACCAGAGTTACAGTCCTCAGCACCCATAAAACCAGGTATGACTGAGAGTACCTATAAACCCAACATTGGGGACGGAGTCAGGCAGACCCCCAGAGCTCTCCCAGATTTTCTAGCAGAAACAGTGAGTAGACCTGTCTCAAGGCAAAAAGGTGATAAAGGAAGACATTCCATATCCCACTCTGGATCCTGTATGCTTGTACGCAGGCACACACACCTGCACACTCATGTGCATGTACTGAACACACATGTAAATGTGTACACACACACACACACACACACACACATACACACATATACACACACACCAAACAAATGAAAAAAAAAATCTCAGGACTATGGTCAAGGAAAGCTAAACAGAGATAATAGGCACATTTGTCAAATTCCAAAGGAAACCAGGGCCTAGGGAGATGACTCAGTGGTTAAGAACACTAGCTGCTCTTGCAGAAGACCAGGGTTCGAATCCCACACGGTGGCCAACAACCATCAGTAGCTCCAGTTCCAGGGGATCCAATTCCCGTTTCTGTCCTCCATGGGCATTACAGGACACAGATGCACTTACACACATGCAGGCATAACACTCATATGCATAAAATAGAAAACAAAATATAAAAACAAAAGGAAACTGGTATTTTTAAATTAAATAATTGCTCCACAGTGACACAGTTGGTTGAATTTAGACCAGAGATTCACACCTAAGCTTTTCTGTCTTCCAGATTTGGGATCCCAGTTCTCAAGCATAGGAAAGTTATAATGAAGCATCTATGCACTATTAACAGACACTATTGCCATGGCAACCTCCTTGGCCTAGGTCACTATTACCTTTCATACAGAGTGCTGTAAGCTCAGAATTGGGCTTTTCTTCCTGTCTTCTTACCATCTTGAACACATTTTCTACCACAGACACCTGAGTGATCAGTGAATATATTAGTGTGTGTATGTATGTGTTCTCACAGTGTGTGATATGCCTTTGGTGGATGTAGTTTGGATTTCTCTCCAGCCAGTACCTGAACTAGCAAGAATCCTCATCACTTCTGTGGGGACCAAAGAATGACTGTCTCAGCTTTTCTGAAGGTTTCTGTCTGGTCTTATTTGTTCAATCTGCATTTATTGAGCATCTGTCTGTTCTAGTTCCCCAAATGTGTAAAGCAACAGAGGTTCTATACTGAAGAATGTCTGCTGGCAAAGCTGGTGCTTCAGAGAGACGTCAGGAGGTTACCTGAGTCCTCAGTGTGAGGGGCACTGGTGGCTGGATTGTGGCAGCAAATTCAAGATATGGATATATCAGGATCAATTCTGGGGGCTTTATCATGGGTATTGCCAATGGATCAGATGGATGTGAGGGACACGGATGGAGAAGAAGGAGATGTAACTGCTAGGATTCTGGTTATAACCACAGGGTGCCGACATTTACTAAGATAGACTCATGGATGATCATGTTTGGTGTTAAGAGCAGGAGAAAGAAGGGCCAAGCTTTGATACAGGCAAGACACCCCGTGAGACTTCCCTATTGAGTTATGGGGAAGACAGCTGGATTTACAGATTGGTGCTCATGTGCAGGGTTCAGTGTGACTGAGCCAGCCTGGGAAGCAGGCTAGTCAGCATCATTCCTCCATAGTCTCTGCTTCAGTTCCTGCCACCAGATTCCTGCCTTGAGTTCCTACCTTGGCTCCCCTTGGTGATAGACTGTAAGCTGGAAAGTGAAATAAACCTTTTCCTCCCAGGTTGCTTTTGGTCAGTGTTTTATCATAGCAACAGAGAATCAAGACTGAGTCGATGGAAACTGTAGCGCTGAGGCCAGGAAGCCCGGCTCTGGGTGAGCTCTCTCCTCTACTGCCTCAACATATAATAGATACACAATAAACCATTCGTATGTTAATATATTAGTACTGCCTAAACCCCTGTGTTATTTACCTCAGACCTCAAAGGATATTCCCTCCCTCAGTCCTGGTGAATGATGCATGAATGGGTCCACAGAATGTCTGAATTTGCACTTACCAAGTAGGAATAGTGTGCATTCATGCTGGAATCTCTATCCTGCACTCCGTGGCATCACTGACAGAGTTCACATGGAGGTGATTCAGATCTGGGCTCTACCCTTTAGAAAACCTGACTCCTCCAACACAGTGATTGTAGTGAGCAATGCTGTGTTGTGGCTGGGTGTGGCGGTGATGCCTTTAATGCCAGCACTCGGGAGGCAGAGGCAGGCAGATCTCTGTGAGATTGAGGCCAGCCTGGTCTACATAGTGAGTTCCAGGTCAGCTGGGGGTACAGGGAGACCCCGTCTCAAAAAACAAAACAAAACAAAATACCACCACAACCACCACTTCAGCAACCAAAACAATAATGCTGTGTTGTATTCTTGTGAAGAAGGTAGATCTTAAGTCATACACACATAGCAGTGATGGTGGGAGTCGATGGATATATATGTTAATAAGCTTGGTTGTAGCAATCACTTAAAAATATACACATATTAAAATATCACCCTCAGGAAAATCATTGTAATCATAGACAGAGAAAGAGAGACACACAAATCAAAACCAATCAACCAACCAAGCAAACATACAACAGATGGATGGATGGATGGATGGAAATGAAGAAGGAAGGAAGGAAGGAAGGAAGGAAGGAAGGAAGGAAAAGAAAAAGGCAGGCATAGGGAGACTAAGCAGGAAGAGGAGGGATCAGCGGGAAACAAGAGAGGATGTTGGGGGTGAAAATGACAAAAATATGTCATATACATGTATGAAAATGCCATAATGAAACCCATTTTAAATATAATCAAGAAGCACTAATAAAAACTTAAAAATCAAGTTGTATACCTTAAGTATATGCAATTTTAGTTTTCCAATTACGCTGCAATAATTCAAAGGAAGAAAACCACAGGCCCGACTCGCGAGGCTGAATTTAACGAGGCTGACAGGAGTCTCCTGCACCCGATGGATGCCTCGGCTCAGACGACCACACTGCCAGGCAGAGGGGACCGATGCAGCTTGACTGTTTTAGCATGAAATTCTAATTTTATTATTTTTATTTTACATGTATGAGTATATTGCCTGCATGTATGTAAGTGCACCCTACTGTGCAATGCCCGAGGAGGTCAGAAGAAGTTATCAGATTCCCCAGGAACTGGAGTTACAGACGGTTGTTAGCCACCATGTAGGTGCTAGGAATTGAACCTGGGTCCTCTGCAAGAGCAGCCAGTGCTCTTAACCACTGATCCGTCTCTCCAGCCCCTAAATTTTAAAGGAAAATGTACTTTATAGAACACTAAGATGCTGCTCAGTTCTGCTACCCATACATGGAGAAAGAGAGGGAGAGATCTAATTTGCTCAAGATTCTAGACTGTTATCTTAGGCCGCATTCCTTGAAAACCAAACAGCAATGTACCTGAACTTTTGGCAGTCCTCCTGCCTCAGTCACCAAATGTTGGGATTACATGTGATTTTTGGTCCTCCTTCAGGAGGGTGGTCAAGTCAGTTCAAGCTAATCAATAGAACAGTGGCCATACCTACTAAGAGCTTGATAGTAGTTGTGGGCTTGGGATGTAACTTGGTATGTTTTCCTAGCACGTATGAAACCCTTGATTCAATCTCTAGAAGTACATAAAGCCTGGCATGGTTATACATGGCTGTTTTTCTAGCACTTGGGAACTGGAGGCAGGAGGATCAGAAGTTCAAGTTCACCCTTGGCTATACTGCAAAACAAAACAGAACAGGAGGCTGGAGAGATGGCTCAGCACTTAGGAGCACTGGGCTCTCTTGCAGAGGACCCAGGTTCAGTTCCCAACCCCCACATGGCAGATAACAAATGTTAGTAATTCCAGTTCCAGGGGATTTGACACCCGCTTCTGACCTCTGTGAGTACTGTAGTCATGTGGTACGCTTACATACATGCAGGCGAAACACTCATACACATAAAATAACAATAAAAATTTTGAGGTCCTGGAGGATCCTTTCTTGTAGAGATCTTCCTCCCATCTCTAAGCCTTGACTTCCATACATGGAAGTCAAGAAAACTTGAATGCCACAGGTTAGTAAAACCTAACCTGTGGCATTCTGAGGGAAAGTTCAATGTCAGGATACTTGGGTACTTGCTCCCATGACTGAGAATTTCATGTAACAAACAAGAATCACAAAATAATAAAACATATGAAAAGTTAACTGTAATTCCATCACCACAGAGCATTTCTGTGACTTGCTAAACTTTCTCATATAAATTCTCTGTCTGTGTGTGTGTGCGTGTGTGTGTGTGCGCGCACGCATGCGTGTACACATGCCTGTTAGCAGCGAGAGGCTGACATCTATGATTCTCTATCTTATTCTTTGGACCTGGAGCTCACTCTTTCAGAGGGATGACTGGCCAGTAAGGGCCCCAGGATCTGCCTGTCTCCATCTCCCCTTCCTCCACACCTCTGGGGTTACAGATAGATTTTATGTGGATGCTGGGGTTTTAAACTGAGGTCTCATGCTTGGGCACTAAGTACTTTACCCACTGAATCATCTTCCTAGTCCTATAGATTCCATTTTTAAAACAAAATTATAATTTGCTTTTAAACCACATTTTGTTTTTCTTCTGTTTTCATCTATGAAATACTTTTCCCTGTTAGTAAAACTTGCTGGGCAATACTCCATCCTATGAGGCTGACAGATAATATTGAGCTAATTCTGAATCATAGCAAGCTACACAAGGAAGCCTTGGTCTCATCAGTCAAATGACGTGACAACATTTATCTCACCAAGTCAAGGTGAGGATGAAATGACCCAGTGTATTAAAATTCTTTGCATAGGGCTGGTGAGATGGCTCAGACAGATAAAGGCGCTTGCTGCCAAGTGTGATGACCTGAGTTCAATCCCAGGGATCCCCATGGTGGAAGGAAAGAAACAGCTCCTGAAAGTTGTCCTCTGACCTCTACATGCACATTGTGGGACACTTGCATTGCCCCCAATAAATAACAATAGTAATAATAATAATAATAATAATAATAATAAAATAACATATTTTTTTAAAAAATCTTTGCACTGGGACTGGAGAGATGGATCAGTGGTTAAGAGCACTGACTACTTTTGTAGAGAATCTGGGCCCGACTTCCAGCACCCACATGGCAGCTAACAACCATCCATAACTCCAGTTCCAGGGGATCTGACGCCCTCCTCTTACCTCAGTGTGTATTTCACAATACAGGTGCATTTACATACATGCAGGCAACACATTCATACACATAAAGTAAAAATAAAAAACAAAAATTCTTTGCATTGTCCTGATACACAGCAAGCATTTGACAAGTACTGTTCTATTATCATGAATTCACACAATGAAGATTTCTTCCGTTTTTTTAGTATTATAAAAAGCAGAGTATAATGGCACATAGCTATAACCCTCAGGAAGCTGAGGCAGAAGAATTGTGAGTTCCAGGCCAGCCTGGGCTTAGAGTGAGACATGATTTCAATCCCGTTTGTCAAATTATACTGTAATAAACATCTCTACCGAAAAATTTCAGGCTTGTCTTACTTTTAAAAGTGAACTGTGAACTGTGAACTGTGGACTGTGAACTGTGAACTGTGGACTGTGGACTGTGGACTGTGAACTGCGGACTGTGGACTGTGAACTGTGGACTGTGGACTGTGAACTGTGAACTGTGGACTGTGGACTGTGGACTGTGAACTGCAGACTGTGGACTGTGGACTGTGGGAACTGTGGACTGTGGACTGTGGACTGTGGACAGGGGAAGGAAGAAAGACGATGAATGGACAGAAAAGGGAAAAGGAGAAAGCAAAGACCAAGGAAGAATGAAGGAAGGGGGGAAGGAGGGAGGGAGGGAGGGAAGGAAGGGAGGTGAGAAAGTGGGAAGGGGAATTGTTTTAGAACTACCAAGTATAATGTTTTCCTGGAGATCAAAGTTCTTGATTTTCAGATCATAAAATGTGAAGCCCAGAACAGGTGGGTCTTTCCCAAACGCCCCAGTGATTCTTTCTTCACCACCACCACATACTTGCCACCATCCTGTTCTAAAAAGTCAATCCTCAGGTCATGGTTGAGAGAAGACATGGAGATCCATGGACCTTGCCCATCTTGAAAACCAAAGCAGGGACATCTCTGCCCCCCACCTTTCTGGTAAGACCACTGGAAGAACCACCCCTCATCACTGAGTTATCGAATGGTCCCAAACAGAACTAAGATGAAGACTTACCTCCTGGCCTGTCCACAGCCAAAGCTGGCTAAAGACAAGTCCCAGGGATATCAGCCTCCAACCAGAGATCTGGAGACACGAGTTCTCCCTGAGGACTGCAGACTTCCTGCTCATTATCCACCCTC